AGAGAGAGAGAGAGAGAGAGAGAGAGAGAGAGAGAGAGAGAGAGAGAGAGAGAAGCTAATCACTTGAATAAACCTATTGCCAAATCACTGCAGTCAATCTGATTTGTTAATAAAGGCCATTGATCCAGAAATTAATCTGAATAACAGGAAATCTCTAAACCTAAAGCCAGGCCCAGAAATATATATCCGTTCAGTCTCATTTGCTTTAAGCTTAAGCGTGTTCCTTCCCATCCTGACCCTAACAGCCTTCAGGCACATGGACAAGATCTTGACATTATTACTCGACAGGCACAATTAAAGACAGAACTGGCTATCATGGGCCTACTGGTGAGGACCTCATCCAGACACTTCGTGTAGAGGTTAAATAGAAAGGAGAAATGTGTCAAGCCACTTGGGAAGCACTTCACAAACCAAGGGCTTTAGGTCTGACTTCTTCTGCACGCCATTATTCTGAACTGATCCCAGCCATAAATAAAGGAGAACCATCACAGTCCCAGGCCTCCCACTGTCAACCCTTACAGACAGTCTAGAAGTATATTACGATCAACAGTACCCAAAAAAAAAAAAAAACCCCCACTGAGAGTTCAAGGAGAACGCAACCTATTTCGTAGTTCTACCATAGATCTCCAAGGAAATCAGACCTGTCCCAAGTCCTTCATCTTAGGGAGACCTCATGACCAATTCTGTGCTTGGCTGCTGAGCATCTAAGACTAGGAATGAAGAACGTGGGCCCAGGATCATGTGTGGCTTGCCAATATCCCTTTCATAGCTCCCAGAGCTCAGAGTATGGAAAGATAATTGCAGAAGGGTGGGGTTAAACTGTGAGAACATCCCCTTGATCCCTTTAAATTGCCCAACCCCATAAAGCCAGCACAGTGTAAGCCAGGGGTAGTCAACCTTGGCTCTTTTATGACTCGTGGACTTCAACTCCCAGAATTCCTGAGCCAGCTAAGCTGGCTCAGGAATTCTGGGAGTTGAAGTCCACGAGTCATAAAAGAGCCAAGGTTGACTACCCCTGATGTAAGCTTTTGGTGGCTTTCAAGCTGGTGAAAGACACATATCCTTGATTTAGCAGAACAGGCTTAATGAGTACTGAAGTCATTCTACCTCCAATTTTCCAAGGCAGTAGGTTTCTGTTGGCAAAAGCTCTCTTTTCCACATGCTGAAAACTGGGAGAAACATGCCCATAGAACGAA